CAAAGATGCTAGCTGTTGTCTTGTTCTTTGGCTTTGGGGGGAAAATCTTGTACGATGAGTTTGCCAAGCGAGGGCAGGGTGATGCCGAGAGTGATGACGAGATGACGGAGGCTGCTGCCATCATTCGGAAGAAGGATCCGAACGATGCTGTTGAAGCAGGCAGTATTAGTTCCACAGGTGTAGGCTGTGCCCGGCGTCACTGGTTCGCATTCCATCCCGTGATGGCAGAGGTCTTCGCGCTCACATTCGTTGCGGAGTGGGGCGATCGTAGCCAACTTGCCACCATCGCCCTTGCGGCGGCGAAGAACCCTTTCGCCGTTACTATTGGAGGCGTGTTGGGGCATGCCGTGTGTACCGGCGTTGCTGTGCTTTGCGGAAACATGACTGCGAGGTATGTTTCCATGAGAAGCGTGAATATTGTGGGCGGTGGGCTTTTTATAGTTTTTGCTCTGGCAACCCTGTACGAGCTTATTACCAACACCCATCACATTGACGAGATGCAGCAACAGAAAGAAAAGTGAAAAACGGACAGCGACGTCGCTGGAGGGGAAAATATTTATTTTGGACGTTTTTTAATGAGTTCTGATGCAATTACTAACAAGTAGATGATTAAGAAAGAAAGAAAAAAAGAAAAATAAAAAGGGAAAAAAGCCTACTCGGAGGCAGAACTGAAGGAAAATTTGGATAAGACGGTTTTTTTTTTCGCTAGATTTTGAAGCTTTGGCTTTTTTCCTTACCTACTGGATTTTGTCCTTTTGCTTCGTGTTCTTTTTTTTTTTTTTTTTTTGCCATTCCATGCCATGCCCGTCTATCTCTGTATTGTATATGGAGGCATTGATTTTTGCCGTGGGCGACCTTTGTGTTTTTATTTTAAAAAACTTTTTGTTGACTCTGGTGGTGAGAAACCTGACGGAATATGCGGGGCGATGGGGGATGGAGGCCGCATCATGCAGGCATAAAAATGTATATTTATATTTTTGTGAGTGCATTAGGAAGATATGCACATTTCACTTTCCCTTTCTGTGTGAGTGTCTGTGTGCGGAGAGTGGAGGGGGGGAGAGCCGTTGTGCGTGTGGGGTAACGCTGTTCTTCATCATCCGGTTCCGTGGAGCGTGCAGCGTCAGAAAGAGAAAGTGTGAGAGTAGGAGCCACACGCAGGACGAGGCAAACAAACTCCACCCATTGCAATGGGCTGAAAGGAATTCAAGTGGTGTTTTGACCAGTACGGGCATGCCGAACCATACGGCAGCAAAGAGGCCCAATTGCGACGAAGCCAAGCAGAGGGAATGACCCCAACGCCAGTAAAACACAACAGAGAATGGAGTGTTGTTCCACGCAGGGGAGAAAAAAGTGGACAAGAGGGAAGAGAGAGTAGAAACAAAAAACACAGAAGTAACGCATTTATTTTGTCGCTCTGTTAATTCTGGAACAATACCAGCCCCCCAAAAAAAAAAATGAAAAGAAAAGAAGTGTGAAATGCACTGGACTGTTTTTGCCTTCTTTTATATATATATTTGGCTTTTTTCTTCTTCTTTTTGAAAGTTCCTGCGCTCTGTGGTTGTGTTTGTGGGTGGATGCGTGATGGCTGCGGATGCCCAGTTGCATAAATGCGCGTACTTTTTTTTTCTTCTTTTTTTTGTGTGTGTGTTTTTTTGGCGGCTTTCCAAAGTGAAGGGAGGGGTAAATATATACTACTACTACTACCTAAGAAAGGAGAAAAAAAAAAGGGGGGGGATAACAGAGCACAAAACACAAAATAATAAAAAAGAAAAAAGAAAAAGTAAGAAGGGCAGGTAGGAGACAGACGGGTTTGACTGTATTGTTTTTTCTCTCTTTTCTTTTTCTTGCCTTTGCATCTGCTCGGGGGGTCTACGTTAGCTCCTTCTGCTGCGTGGTTTAAGACTGGAGGGAGGTTAGGGGTGGCGGCTACGGTCTCGGGGGCAATGAACGGGGCGATGAACAGTGCACACCCGACCAGCAATGGTTATGCACCGGGATTTCAACCGAAGGAGAATCCACCAAAAGTTCTCTTCAACGTTTGCCGAAAAGAGTTGTATCACCCCAACAAGGGCTACAAACAGTTGGCTCGTCGCCTGAAGCAAGTCGGCACTGTAGACATGAACAAGGAGGATATTACGTTAGACCGTCTTTTACCATATGACATTGTCGTCTTTGGTTCTTCACAAGAGAAACTCACCGAAGAAGATCTTACCGTCATTCGAGATTATGTTGAGCACGGTGGTTCCGTCATTATGCTGTTTGGTGATGGGCACGGTGGTCATTATTCTTACCTTAACCGGACGCTGGATGAGTGGACAGGCATTACTCTTAACGAAGATTGTGTGGTACGTACCGTCATGAACAAATACCTGCATCCTAAAGAAGTGTGTGTTGCGCATGGGGTGACAAACAGGGCCATAAATAAGGCCGCTGGAAAAAGTGTTTTGGGAGCTCCCGGGCATCAGGGTGATCGTGGGGGTTTTATGGCAGGTGGCTCGACCTTTGGCGATCGTCCAGCTCCTCTGACACTCAATCGAACCGCCGCCACCGGTCACTGGGGGAATATGATGTCGAATGCTGCCACAACGGCTATGCAGCAACAAATGGCGGAAGAGGCTGCAGCGGATGGTCCTACCAGTCTCGTATTTGTGTACCCACACGGCCTGAGTTTCAATGTGAACCGCCCGGCAGTGCCCATCCTTAGCAGTGGGTTCATGGCCTACCCGTTAAATCGCCCCATTGCCGCGGTGTGGGAATGCAGTGAATTAGTGGAGCACAACGGTCAAAAGAAACAGGGAAAGCTGCTTCTCATAGGCAGCGGCCTCTTAATGGAGGATAACTGGTTCGGGAAGGAAGAAAATGAGTTGCTAACAACTGTATTATTTGATTACATGAATCACAAGGTGAAACTGAACCAAATTGATGCCGATGAACCAGACATCACGGACTACAACCATGTTCCAGACACCGCATCCCTCTCAGAGCGACTGCGTGTTGCGGTGGAACAACAGGAAGAGTTACCGCGTGATTTTACCAAGCTTTTTCAAACAGAATCATTCAAACTTGACACAGACATTATCCCAGAGGTTATTGAGGCGTACAACAAACTCAATGTCAAACAAGAGCCCCTAACTCTTATTCCACCGGAGTTTCTGACTCCTCTTCCTCCAGTGAAGCCAGCAGTGTTTGAACCAACCCATCGGGATCCGATGCTGCCTGCGTTAGACCTCTTTGACCTAGATGAAGAGTTTGCGCCTGAGAAGGTGCGGTTAAGTCAATTGACAAACAAGTGCAAACCAGAGGATGTCCAATTTTACATTTTGCAAGCCGCAGAAATCCTTGGCGTCACAAAGAAGTTACGAAGTCCACGTAATCGTGACCCTCGCGCATTGTTAGACTACGTATTTCGCCAGGTTGTGCAATATAAGAAAGTCAACGCTGGCAGTATGCATACGACATCCAATGCGGGGCTGGATTCCTACAGTATGGACCCCAATGCAGCAGCTGCTGCTGCCGCAGGTAGCATGACGCGGGTGATACGCGTTTCCACGGGTGAAAATGGGAATAGAGACACAACACCGTTCGATGACAACGTACCGTGGACACTGCAACTCCAAGCGGACTTTGGCAGTGGAACCATTACGGGGAAATTTATATTGCATACATCTTCCATGCATTTCCCTGCACAAGAGGCTTCACTGGAGGGCACAATAAAGCCACCCGGGGAGCGGGAATACCCAATGGAATGGGGTGTGCTGGTGCGCGGGGCAAACGATGAGCAAACCTTTTTCGTATTTCTTGCGATGCTGCAGGGCAACTCGCTACGTGGCGTTTGCGAAGTGGCTTCTGGAAATGGCAATACCCGAAACTTTTTATATGAAATTGAGGAGCTTTAGCAAAAAAAAAAAGCAAAGTTCTGAATGAGTGGGGGATGGGTGGTGCGTGTAAGGGAACGATAGACTTTTTTGTGATGGCAGTAATCAAGAGTTGCGGGAGCGAAGGGATGAATAGAATGGCGAACAAATGGAGGGTAAACACAAAACAGCAGGAAAATATCGAAAGCGGCAACCAAATCCGGAGAACAATTGACAACAACTGGCGTTTTTTTTTTCTTTTCTTTTTTTTTGTGTGTATATAAAGGGGTCGCAATGAAAAAAAAAAAAAATGTACAGCAATGCTGGTTACAGCAGAAAACCCACCGCCCTTCTCTGGTAATAAATCCAAAGCCTTTTGTTGTTGTTGTTTTATTTGGCTGTTGACCTCTCTCCAGTTTTCTCTGTGTACATGGTGGGGTCGCAGCCGAAGGGTCTGGTGGGGGGGGGACGGTTAGGGAAGCGGCATCTCAACACAAGGCAGGCGACGGAGTTTATATTTGGCACGAACTTGCATGGAAAAAGAGTTGCAGAAGAAGGAAGAACTAGAGAATGACAAGCGAAAAGCAGAAGCCAAAGTGCACCCGGACAGTCGTGAAGGGTTTGTCACTCTGTTTGATGGGTGGTGTCTCTCTGTGCCGCATGTGCAGTTTTCCGTGGGCACGAGGAAGTGAGTTTATTGCTTGTTTTGTGTGTTGTTCTCACTTTTTACCTTTTTCTTTTCTTTTCTTCTTGATTGGACTCCCGTTTTTTGTTGTTGTTGTTGTTGTTGCTGTTGCCGTGTGGTGCCTTAGCGTCTTCATCGCCTCACGCACGCACAGACAAATAAATAAGAACGGCTGCAGAGAATAGTTATAGATCACAACTAATTTTTTTTCACTTTAGCCACGTTGTGTGAATTGTGTGGGTGTGGAGTGAGTGAACAAACCCCAACACAAACAACATCGGTGGCAACAATATCCAGAAGGGAGGAAGACGAAAAATAAACGAAAAGGGAAAAAAAAGAGGGAGAGAGATAGACACAATAGACGCCGAAAAAGAAAACGGAGGGGGAGAAGGCAAGGAAAAGTTAAAGGAGACATTTATTAAGGGTGTGGGCATTATTTTTTCTTTGGTATATATTTGCCAATGCGACTGAACATTACGACACCGAATGAGCGTCACGATGATGCCTGTACGTGTGTGGCTGTGTCCTTGATGGGTGACGTCATCAGCGCTGGGGACGATTTTGTGCTTCGCCGGTGGAGCCCAAATGGCGAGCCACTTGGCAAAGTACATCAGTTTGACAGCTGCATTACATACATCACCTGGGTCCCTCTCCAGGGGGGCCGGAAAGGACGGGGGGCCGCGGCAGGAACAATTGAGGGAAAAGACAACTGCCTTGTAGCGTGTGCTGATGGAACTTTTTCTTTTTTGAACGCAGCGTCCGGTCGCGTAGAACGTACCGTTGAGGCGCACGTTGGTAGCATAACTGGACTTGTTTACTCTGCTGACGCCTCTTCGATTGTGTCGTCTGGGGAAGATGGCTGTGTGAAGGTCTGGTCGCAGGCCGGCATTCCGCGCACGACGCTGGTTTCGGTTGGAAAGTGCGTTTACGCCCTTTGCTGGGGATCTGAAACGACAGAACTTGGTGGCGACTGCGTACTGTACTGTTTTGGCAGTGATGTGGTCATTAAGCCTCTTAACCCAACCATAAAAAGGCAACTAAAGTGGAAGGCACATAACGGGGTTGTGTTGGCTGCGGATTGGTCTCTCATGACGGGATTTATCGTTACTGGTGGCGAGGATGGAACGTATAAAGTATGGGATCCTTGTGGGCGTAGTATCTACGTCTCTGCTGCCGGTGGGCATCCGTGTACGGCCGTCAAGTTCTCAGCCGACGGCGAAATGTTTGCAGTAGGTTCCTTTATGAACCTGCGGGTGTGCGATAAAACTGGATGGAGTCATACATACGAACGACTTCCGGAAGGTAGTGCCCTTTCACTTCAGTGGACAGCAGATGGAACACAGGTGGTGGCGGGGTGTGGTAGTGGAACGGTTTGCACGGCACAGCTTGTGGACCGTAAATTGTATTGGGGCCAGTATTGTGTGACACTTGTGGATGGTAATAAACTTTTAGTCCAGAACGTTCTTACGGACACGGTGGAGGAACTCGAACTACGTGATAAAGTCATTAAGGTAGAACTGGGCTATGGTTATCTCGTAGCGTGCACCACCACGCAATGTGCATGCTATCCAATTGAGAGACTCTCCGCACCCGTACAATTTGATCTCCGTGATGTTGTCATTACACTCATTCTTGGAGAAAAACAGTTTCTTTTGTCCGACTGCAATGCCGGAATACAGGTTTACTCATACGAGGGCCGACAGATATGTCTTTTGCGTTTGCAGGCGTCTCTTCGACCGGAAATTATGGCACCTGATCTTGTTGCATTGTCTCCAGATACGGTGGCTATTCGCAACCCTGCGGACCCCAAAAAGATTTTTTTTTTTGATACAAATCACGGTAAACCCGTTGATAACGCCACCATCACGCATCATCTTGAGGTGTTGTCGCTGGAGCTCTCGCAGCCGGGTTCTATTAGCGATCGAAAAATTGCCTTTGTGGATCGCAATCGTGATCTTTACTTTGGT